CATTAGAGCCATTTCTCCTATAGTGTAATATGGTGTGATGCGATGTAATGCAGTGTGCCTTTGCATACTGTACACAGCAAAACATTAATTTTAATAGAGGAAATGGCTCTAAAGTTGGGCCTATGAATCTTAAATTGGGCCCATCGCTAAAAATCTGCTATGTATCAATTTCATCTAGATGAACGCGTCATTGGGACGATACTAATAGATATTTTTGTCTGCCATTGAAAATTTAGTCGATTGCTGGATTTATGTATCGGTCCAAATTAGGGGCATTTAGGCCGACATTACACCCATTTCCCCTATCTCATCAAAGTGGATGCATCAATCGTATCGAAAATATGGTCTAATATTACTTGTCAAAAAGGACTAAATTATGATTAATACAGTGCATGAACTGACATTACGCTGCTTTAAATGCATTTGTTATTTTTGTAGCCATAAAAATTACACGAGATTTTCGACATGATTGAAGTGCATCCACTAATTTTTTTTTGCTGTGTATTGAGATGTATGTAGGATGCTACAATGTAACTGATGTGTAAAGTAATGTATTGTACCCAGCAAAATATAAAAATTGCTATCACATCAATGAAGATGCATTTCAAGTACGGCGAACGTATCAAGAGCAAATTTTCATTATGTCGAAAGTAACATTCGCACCGATCCTAGAAAAATAAAGTTTTCCTTTGATGACCGAATAGTTATTCCTATTTCCAATTAAACACATATAATCTCATAGTAATAATAGCAATGTTGTATGTAAGTATGTATGTAAGAAGCCACCATCTTAGCTTAGATCTTGTCCTACATGCGGCTCCACTCAACAGCAAGATCAATTTTTGTAATCATTATGAATTCAACATACTGCCGTATGAAGGGTCAAAAAGGGTTGGGTGGGCCCGTACACAGAGAGACTTACGCGAAACCCGTGGGAATAAGATAATCTCCTTCCAACGATATCAATAATCATATCTCATAGTGATAGCCAGGCTTGCTGAAACTCCTCAAACTCACTGGAGGTTTTAAAACAATCTTGTCCTGCGAGTTTAGCTAGCCCTCACTTCGAGTGAGTGGCGGCAGGAACATGGAAGAAGTAAACAAAAACTCCTCGAGAGAGAGGGAGAGTGAACTTCAGCGAGAGGATGATTTGAAGTAAGGTGCGCTTTTCGAGACTCCGGATGACTTTTTTGTTCGACGCAAGAAACTCAGAGTTCACCCAGAGTGAGAGTAAGAGCGTGTGATTGACAAATCCATGTTTCAATCGACCACCGTGACGCTGCAATCGCAGCGGTGATAAGTCCGGAATAATGTGTCAAACTGAATACATTTTTGAAATTTCCACCAAAAAACTATTATTTTCTATTCATTCTAGCGAGTTTCTGTGGAAGTCAAAACATGATCCGAGCAAAAAAGTAGTACTCGTAATAATGGTACCTATATAATGCTGAATTTTATCGTGCTTTGTTTCGAAAATATCTTCCAAATAAACAAACATCATCCAAATCACCCGATGCGTCCATCGACTAAATCCATTGCCACTTAAAAATTAATTTCAATCGGTGTATTAATCAGCACATTAAATCGTTTTTCGTCTGGTGCTATACCGAGCAATCGGCCTATTTAATAATTTTTCGTCGATTGATTTAGTCGGCCAACTTTGACTGCTGTTTAATCGGCAGTTGATTTCAAACCTTAACATGTTTTCAGTGATTTATAAGTCTTGAAGTAGCTTTTTATTTAAGAACAATGCATTACAAAATAGTTTTATGCATTTTGTACAAGATTCATCCATGCTGACAACAAATTTTCATGAAATTACATTGAAATTAAATAATTTGGCAAACAATCAATGAAATTTTCAAGGGCTGTCACAGACTTATCACCGTCGGTTAGTGCTTATTCCTGCCACCAGGCGCGCAGGAGTTTAAGTTGGATTTCTCAATAGAAAACATGAACATGAACGGCAGCAAACCTCACTCTCATTTTATCCCCCTTCGCTCACAAGCTCTGAAGCTCAGTGGAATTATTTGGCAGTATGCATTCTACTCCTCAGAAAAATGCTACGCTCGGCTCATTTCAAACTCGCGAGCGAGGTTCCATCAAGCCTGGTGATAGCAATGTTTAACATTTAAGCACAGACAAACAGACATAACACAGGGGCCAGCAATTTCCTCTTATAATACAATAATACATTATTTAATCATTCCTGTTTGATAAGTTTACAAAGTTTGACAAACAAAAATTAGCATTGCAGTGTCGTTACCAATTTTCCAAGTCCCAGACTTCAGATAACAGTTTTAATCCTGAGATTACATAATTCATCAAAGTCCCAGATTTTTTTTACGGAATCATGAACAAAAATCGAAGACCACTATGACAAACGCGATCAGTCTGAAGGGATCTATTGTCCGACTTGTGAAAAGCGGGAGGCAGAACATATAAATTGATTTTAGAACAAAAAAAAAAAAACAACAACGAAATCTATAAAATATTAAAAGCCTCCGATAGCCTTGTCAGTAAAGGCACGATATTACCAAATCCAGAGACAGCATGTTTCATTCCCGGTCCAGTTAAGAAAATCTTTCAAGTTGAACATTTTCTCAACATGCCTGGGCATAGAGTATCATTGTACTTGTAATAATACAGTTCATGCATTTGTTGGCATAGAAAGCTTTCAATTAAATACTGTAGAAGTGCATCTAGTCTACTTAGTTGAGAGCCGCCAAAACACTTGCTACAGAAGCGTAAAATGCCCAGAAAAGTAGGAAGAAGAAGAAGGAAACGAATAAGAAGAAGTGAAGAAGTTATAAAAAGAACCCCTAAGGAACATTTTTTTAATAATAATAATAATAGAAATGTGGTGTTCTTATTTCATCCGCGTTTCTAGTATTATGTCTATGAAAATCACTTCCTCTTTCACTTCGATCACTCAATTAATTACCTTAAAAATGAACACCACAGTCAAATATACACGGCGAATGAGAACGACCCAAATTTGAGTTTAGTTCACTCATAATCGGCAAAAGTGCAGGAACTCAGCGATCAGTAAATTTGCCTTATGTTTTCCCAGGTTTTTCCAGGATTTTCCAGGGAAAAATTCCCGAATTTGAGAAAAGTAAAGATTGAATTCACTCATTCTATTGGTACTATTCCGAGACTGAATAAAATTTTCGTCAACTTCCTCATTTTCCGGCAGATTTTTTAGGTTTTCCACAGAAAACCATGAGACAAATTTTACTCATCGCTGAGTTCCTGCACTTTTGGCGATTATGAGTGAACAAAACTCAAATTTGGGTCGTTCTAATTCGCCGTGTACTATATATTCTTTGCTTCACTGACAGCCATTGTAAAGCATCCAGCATCAAAGTTGAAAAAGTGAATCTATTACATCGCAAAATCAAACACATTATTTCATTCTTCAAGCGCTGTAATTTCAATGTTTGTTTTTCATCGGTCAGAAATAAAATGGAAGAGCAAAAATCTAGATGGGGAGAGATGATTGATTTGTGAAGCTGTATTTTACAACAGTTAAATCGTTTTTCAATCGACATAGAATTCCATACTTCTTGCCAATTTTCTTGGTGAAACATGTCAATGTGAGAGTTGAACATAAGTTTGTCATCAATAATCACGCCAATGTATTTAATCTTCCGAACGCGATCAATAGTCTTATCATCAATTACAACAGAGACGTTATCATTTACTCGATTCCGTGAAATTACCATGAATTTAGTTTTACTTGCATTCAGTTGATTACACTTCAATCATCTACTTATGGCTGTAAGCTCCAATCGGTATTATCCTCGGATTTAATCCCGATCAAGAATGTCCGGCTGCTTTGATGTCGACATCAGAATTATTCAACACGATGCTATGCAAACAATTCGCAGATCATCAAAACAGGGACGGTATTAAAAGTTAATCCGAGTTGGAGCTAACCGCCATTAGAGATTGACATTCAAGTTTGAGCCGGCAAATTCTAAATCTTTAGCTGTAATGAATTACACAGAACGGCGCCGGTGGTGTAGTGGTAAGCGTGATTACCTCTCACCCCAGCAGGCCTGGGTTCAATCCCAGTTGGCGCCGCCGGGATGTTCTGAGGCATAACATTTCTGATCACGCCTTCCTTCGGATGGGAAGCAAAGCCGTTGGTCCCCGGTTCATGAGTTGATGGGTCGATAGGTAGGGTCCAGGTGTGGGAGCTGCCTTCCTGGCACGTCGGTAGTATTGGTGCTCAGCACGGAAAACAAGATCGACGGAAAAAACAAACCCAAGGAAAAAGAAAAAAAAATGAATTACACAGTATCATCTGCAAAAAGATTAATGTCGCAAAATCGCAAAACACGACGCAAGTCATTAATATACATAATAAATAAAAAGGGCCCTAATACACTTCCCTGGAGCCCTTCAAGGTTATTTCCCTCGGAACTGGAAATAGAATCATTAAAAACAGTCCGTTGCATTCCGACACTATAAATACAAACAAATCTAAAAATGATAAAAATGGCTCATGTACCACTTTGGCCCTGCACGCTTCAATTTCATCTCTGCTTCATACATCTTACTTCGCGCAATCGGCAAACGAGAGTCCCGCTCCGCTTGTGAGCTGAGATCATCATTACCTACCAAGCCAGCAAGTCAGTCTTCATGTTTCAGTGTCGGGTTGCTGCGTGCACATGTGCTCTGTCTTCCTTGGGCTAACTGGTTTTCCATTTGCGCGTGTGTTCACCGTTCTGGCCGCGGTTTTTGTGTTGTGTCGGGATTTGTTTTCTATCGCTCGTTGTCGTTGCATTGAAACCCGTCCTAACTTGTTGCTGCGTGGATGCACAAGCTAACGCACTTTTTCGTTTGTACATGTGCATCCATGCACTCATTCGGCGTTTTTCTGCGCTCGCCTAATTCTCTCTTTCTACTTTCTGTCTCTCTTGATGTATTTTCTATATGTTGCTGCACGTTTGGCGTGGTCGCGACTCGTGCGCCATTCGCACTATTTTTATTACCACTTCGGCTGATTGATGGTGTGAACGCACGTTTTGAACGCTCAGCCCAGCGCCAACGGTGATCGATTGAATTTTACGGCTTTTAACTAGATCACGTTGCACGATTTGGTCCCGGAGACCCCGGTTACGGTGTTAGGGTAGGATATCGGTTTTGTTCAAAACGGTCGGCTTTATGGAAATTCAGACACGTTCTTACTGTGAGTAGCGCGGCGAGTTCTTGTAGCAGATCGGCTCGTAGAGATTATACCGTTGTGATCGGCCCTCCGAAGTAGTGTAATCTTGTGTTGAAGTGAAGGTGAAGTGGTGTGATTAAAAATAATTTTGTGCGTGTTCAGAAGAGCTTTGTCGGTCACCAGTTTGCTATTTGGCGTTAGGATTGCCCTGAAAAGAAGACTTGTGTTGTGCGCAAATTCCAAACCATCTCACTTATAGGTTGTTGATAAACGTGTGCTACCGAAGTGGAAGGAATAGAAAGCACGTGAAAGTACCGAAGCAGAAAGAAAAAAAAAACTTGCTGGCAAGAGAAGATTTACCCATAGCGAAGAAGGCAAAAACGTTCGCTGAAAAGTCATTAGCAGTGCATTTAACGAAAATGTAGAAAAAGGTAAGTTAAAGAGAAAGAAAAGGGAATCAACACAAAAGTAGCGTGTGCACAAAAAAAATGTAAACAGAAAACATAAACAACGAAGAAGGCAATACGAAGCGCGAATGTGTGTGCGCGTGGATGTTTGGATTCTTCACGGGAGTCACGTGACTTGAGCATGCATGGATTTTCCTCTATGTGGTGGTTTTGTTATGCAAAAGAATATTCCGGTATGTATCTATGTGGTTTGTTGTCGCCTCCCGAAACGGTAATGGATGGTGTGCTGTTACCACGCAATAAGGGGTTGTCCATAACGCAGGTAGAGTTATATTGAGTTGATTATTGGATGACTGTCTACGCTTTTGCCTAAATTCTTTCAAAAATTGTCTGCCTAATGAGTTGCTCGAATAGAGAATAAGTAACAACCGAAAACGTTCATAGGGGAAATACGGGGTAAAAACGCCCGGCGGGGTAAGACAGATCACAGCCAGTTCTATATGAAATCCTCAAGATTAGTGCAAATTTTGAATGTAGAATAAATTTAACAACATGTTTTTATCATTCTGAAACACCTTGTAGCTCCTGTACTAAACTTCAACAATGAATCAAAACAATCTTCTCGTTCTTTTCATGATCTAATTTTGAAAGGAATACATTTAAAGAATTTTAGTGAAAAACTATGTTTTCAAACATTTGTTTATATTCTTCATAAGGCTGTACTTCTTCTGTAACTGTTGATAAAGGTTTGTAAAAATGTATTCAACAAGTGTAGGGAGGTGACAGCAGGTACGGTTTACCCGAACTTCGTGGATTTCGCGATTTTCACGGATTTGAACTTTCTATCGTGATCGCGGAATCGCGGAAACATTAAATCTAGACGAACAATTCAAAAGGCTCTATCTGTTTTGATCGATTCTCTTCATAGAATTTCTCTTTCGTTCATAACTCAGGTGCATAAACATACCCAGTTATATTTGTTGTTAGGCGAACCAGCCGATTACTGAAACTCTTGTAAATAAAGGATAAAATGATGTTGATGTTCTGGATGCTAGATGAGAATCTTCTCTACCAAATTATGTTGCGAATATAGCGTGAAATCCGTTTATAGCCGTGATTATCAAAAAAGAAAGATTGGACCATTTGAAATGTTCATCGAGAAATTATGTCACGAAATCCGTGGAAATTGCAGAGTACATTTTAATGGCGCGAATCGTTTATGGTACATGCTAATTGAAAATTTATTACATTGAATGTTAGTTACATATCCTATCATCCTTCACAGCCCATCCTGCAGCGAATGGTATAAGTTGTCCTCGCAGACAATGTAATGGATTTTTACCTTTTTTATTCGTGTTCTGTCCACGCTTTCGACTATAACACCAAGCTTTTTATTTATAACATTATACACACTTGCTTCGATTGTCTCCAATTTCCGTTCAACAGAAAATAAAAACATGCGAAATCTAATAGCGAATTTGTTTTTGATTCAGTTCCAACCTGGCTCGGGTATCAAGATTGGGTTGCCTTGTTGTCTGTCAAACGTCAGTGTAAACGTTTGTTTTTGTAATCTGACTCGGGTTAAGGTTTGCACTGACAATGAGCTCGGGTCCGCACGGGTGGGAACTGGTTCCAACCTGGATAATAAACAAATTGATGACAAAAAAAATGAGCGCTTCTTATTTGCTTTTAGCCTATCCATGTTCCGAAGCATGGAGAGAGCAGTGGCGTAAGCACAGGTCTGATAATCGGAACGTTCGTGGTCGAGTCCCAGCCGGCGGCAACTTTTTTTTTTATACGACATGATTCATTTCACTTACTAATCCACTCACTTCCGTTCATGTGGTCTCCACTAACATTCTCCGATGATGAATCCTACATAATTGTAAGCAATTGGGTGTAATTTTTAGAAAAAAAATGTCACAATTCTCTTTTTATCGTGTATTATGAAGCACAAAGCAGTGATGCCAACATTCCAGTTCAAACTGGATTCTTCCAGTTTTGTTTAGATACAAACAGCTATAGTTCGAAATCTTCCAGTTTTTTTTTCAGAGAATGCAGTTTTCTATTATTAATAGCAACATATTATGAAGTATCATTAACAGTTCAGAAGGATTAATATACTTTGCACTTTTATATTGAAACTGAAATCAGCCAAATGCAGGGCGATGCTACGATCAAGTTCGCTTCACGGAAACGGGACAGGTATGCATCGACACGCATTTTGCAGGTTTGGTATTATGACAGTTAACATAAGTTTATGTCAAAGTTAACCTACTTAACTGATGTTGAGAACATGTAACAGATCAGGAAATTTCAGAACTGTCGAACCATCTCCAATCTTGCCGTCAATGTTAATCATGCATCTCTGTTATTTATCTTATGCCTTCGTCATCTTCTCTTGTGAATTTATTTCTTATGCAGGGTTTTTTTTTATCTTTATTAAGGAGACTTTCCGACAAAACAGGGGGTGTCTACTCCTTTTGCTAGAATAAATTTTCTGAGTTTTCCAGGGTATTTCAGAACTTTTCGGATAATTTCTTTGTTTTAAGAAAGCTGTTTTCTAGTTGCGTTAAAAAATATGTTATTTTTGGTAAAGCAACAACTTATTTCCACAAACGATTTCAAATTATGACAATCAGTTTGACAATCAAAATCATAAAAAGTTAAACTTTTTTGAACTGAGTCTTATCTACGGATCCAATCCATCGCTGATGCTTTGCGCCTTCAGTAAGAACTCGACACTTGCATGGCTTGGTGCACATTAAATCGAATGATCGTTAATTCTGAAAAATTCTCTGTTATCTCCTTCGCTTGGATTCATCGACCACTCGTTTTCGACTCCAAGCATCAAGGTACAGCTATTCAGCGCATGGACCATGTGAAGGACCTTGGAGTTGTTGTGGATATTCAACTAACGTTCAAGCATAACGTTTCTTATGTCGTTGAGAAGGCATCCAGGACTTTGAAATTCGCCAACAAGAATTTTACCAGTATGTACTGTTTAAAGCCATTGTGCTGCTCTTTGGTCCGTTCAACGCTCGAATACTGCTCTGGCATCCGCACTATCAGAACGGTTCACAGAGGATTGAATCTGCTCAACGCCGCTTCATGCGTTTTGTCCGTCGGCTTCCTTGGCGAGATCCGTTCCGGTTAACGAGTTACAGAAGTCGATGTCATTTAATTCAACTCTTCAGTAGCACAGGAACATCGCCAGGGTTATGACAGTAGCGGACAGTTGCAGGGAATAATCGACTGTCCTGCTATTCTTGAGTCGGTTGACTTGAACGTTTGTCCCAGGGCACTGCAAACAATGCGATGCTGAGGTTACCTTTCCGACGAACAAATTACGGACAACATAGTGCTTTCATCGGTGTACAACAATTGTTCAACACGGTAACCAGCGTAAACACATTAATGAGTAAAAAAATACACATTTTTTATGTTTATATGCAGCTGTAAGAAAATGTGTAAATTAGGAGATCTTAAAATGTGTGAAAAAATACACATTTTAAGAATGTAGTACCAGTCATAAAATGTATATTTTTATACTCATTCATGGGTAAAAAAAACTTCAAAACTTGCTGCATTGCTTCGTTGATGCACACCATTTGCTTAAGCGAAAAAATTTCAGCAATTTTAGGCAAAGGATGAGGAACTACTGTCCAAACTTTAAAGAGCAACGATGGACAAGCTAAAGGGTAAGTGGTTTATATTATTTTCATAGCTAATCAGGGCTTAGCTATGAAAATCATTTTTAAATTTTTCATAGTTCGCTGTCTGGCTGTGATTTTTTTAATGAAATAGTATTGAATCTGAGCAATCTTTATTTAATCATTGGCACAAATAAGAAAACTCCATTGGTCCCCATCATATTAAAATTAGATAAATGATTACTTTTTACACATTTTGCATTTTGAAAAATGTGTAAAAATTCACTTCTATTGACGTTTGATGGGTTTACACATAAATGTGTAAACGCAGTTTACACATTTTATGAGTAGACCCCTTTTTTCACGAAATGTGTGAATTTTTACACATTAATGTGTTTACGCTGGTTACCGTGCAGGGTAGCTTCCGTTTTCACTTTCTATCTAAGGCCTGTACTCGAAAAAAAATGCACCAGACAAAAGTTTTAAGTCTAATTTTCTTGAAACTTTCAGGGAATGAACTAATACATATGGATTATGTTTCGGCATAATTACTTTATTCAATTTCCTTTGCATCGTTGAAAGCCCGCACCTTTCCAACTTCAGTAGGACTTTCCTGTCCTTGGAATCTTGGAATTGAAATTGTCATTTCAGTAGTAGAATTATTGTAACTTTACAATATTTTTTTAATTGTCAAAATTTCAATACTTCCCATTTTGCGAATTTGCAATGCTTGTTGGTATTGATGCATTTTGAATTTGGGTGTGGTTCAAACGGGTGCGGAGTCAGTATCAACGGAAAAGCATTAACTTTCACCTTAAGACCCCTCATTACATTTTGTGCAATGGTGGACAGTGTCTGTTTTTATCATTTACCATCACATGCAAGGAGTATCGCTTCAACCCAGTGTCGATGAATTGCGTTTGTTTTGAACATCTTCGTAGTTACGAAACGAGCGAAATGAACAAATGAGTTTATTATACATCAACGAATACGCGTTTGTTGATATTCACCAGTGCTCGATTATCAAACCAAAATTTTTAAAAATCAGAAGTGATCCTCAAAAGCAAAATAATCAACGACATTTTGGGCAAAATGATTATTTTGAATATTGTCGACCACACTGCCTAAATTATCGATATTATCATAAGTTCTACTTGAAGCATAAATTGGCCGTCGACTTATGTCTAAAAACCACGTTCTTCAGCGCTATATTTGTTTAAAATGAAAATAATCATTTTGCATTTGATCATCAATATCATCCCGACCAAGATGAAGACGAATATCAATATTTACAACAACAGCGTCGATAATGAGAATCCAGCCACGAATGAAGAAAAACAAATGTTATTTTTGATAGTCAGAGGTTGCCTA